ACACACACACACACACACACACACAGAGGGAGACAGAGCGTGATAGACAGAGAGAGGCAGAAAGAGAGAGTCTGTACCAGCAACTGTAGTAGGGCTGCAGCTTCAGGGGCTCATATGTCCAGGTGCCAGCAACTGGAGAGATTGGGATCCAAGGGCCAGCTACTGGGCAGACAGAGTGCCAGAGACCAGCTGCTGGAGAGATTCACCTTGTACATATGTGTATATATATTCTCACTAGTGGACCTCCATCCTGCTCAGCCAGAGAGGAGAGCAGGATGAGGCCGTTAGTGCTGTCTATGTTTGTGTGAATGCTTTGAGTGTCTGTCTGTGATCTGTGTGGCTGGCTGTGTATATACATATATATGTGTGCTCTGAGTGTGCCTGTTGGGGGCCCTGGAGACAGGGAGAGGCAGCAGCCTCACCTCTCTTGGGCTGTTGGATCCAGCATGATATATTTTCCTCTAACAGAGAGGGAGGGGAGAGAAGGGGGAAGCAGGGGGGTGGGGAAGAGGAGGGGGAGAGAGGCCTGAGACCACTACTAAATACAGAACATACAGCCTGATCCAGTACAAAAACTACCTGTATTCCAATTGAGCAGTTTTATAGAAATTCATTATTTTTTCAAGCATTGTGGATTAAAATTGGTTTTTGTCTACTGACATTATAAGGGACGGTGACAGACAAAAGGACAAATCAGTCACCTGTGGTTGCCACAAATGGGCCAGCACCGTCAGCACCACTCTCAGGGCACAGGCTCTGCCTGCCCTGTGCCAAGGTGCTGCCGACAGGAGCAGGCAGCGGGAGCTGCTGCAGCACAGCACAGCATGGCATGGGATGTTGGCGCTGGACTGGCTTCTGCGCAAATCTCTGGGTGGCAGCCTCTACTGGATCCAGGAGCACTTCTACGAGTTGGGCAACCGGACCAACATCTGGCTGTTGTGTGGCTTGCAGCATGACGTGGTGATCGACATGGGGCTGGGGCTGTGCAGCCTCTTGACTACCTCCACCTCCTGTTGGAATAAGAAAAAAAATCAGAGATTACATGTTGAAGTTTTATAAAAATGCTAGTTGTTCCTTCCAAATGAAACATATTTTGTTCTTTTAAAAGTACATAAAAGGGCAAAGAATTGACTATTTTACTGTAAATGTAATAGAGCAGACTATGGTAAAATAAACCAGTCGGAATTAGTAGGAGCAATGAACATATTAAAACTATCTCTTACTTTGTCTTGAGACTTGTTTTAGTTTGATGATAAAAATATTTTTAATTCTTTACATATGAAAAAAAGAGTGACTTAAAATAGAGTTTGAATAACCATATTTATCTTTGTCAGAACAGTATTTTCCTTTTTTTGAACAGCATCTGGTTGAGTTTAAGGGAAGTTATCAATAAGCAGTTGTGGGAAAATAAGGGAAGATTGGCGAGGAGGATTGTAAACACGCTCAAGTGACTTGCAGCTAGGGTGCCGAAAAACACATATATCATACTAATTGTTGTTTAGCCTTGTGTGTTGGACAAGTAGAACATCTGTGTTTAGATAACATAGGCCTGTGATAGACTTAGAGGCACCCTATCGAACATGCTTGAGATTCCTGCCCTGCTGTGGGAAAGATAAAGCACAGTGGTAAACTACGCCTGTGCGAATCCCTGATGTACAGGTGAAAACAGCAGGTTCGGTGATCCTCTAGCATGGACCGAGCTCCATGGTGCCTACATCCCCGCTTGTGTGCCTCTGCCCGGGTGCTGCTTCGGGGATCCCCCAGTTGGTGAGGTAACAAAAATAAATTTACTCTTTGCATTTCATCCGTGGTTTTGTGGGTGTTCCTGCATCCTGCCTGTGCCAGCTTTCTTTTAGAACCTTTCAATATAGTTATTAAGCAGCTGCTTGTGAGACGGTTGCTCATATGTTGGTCATCCTTATCTACACTGTCAGCACTTAAGTTTACATATTTACCACCTGTAAATTAATTGACTTTGTACATTTATAATAGAGCTGGCATTGCAACTTCCAATTAACAGCAGACTGACTTGGCATATTCTCCATCCCTAGACTGACTTTCTACTCAAAGTACCAGTTCTGTAGCTAGTACAGTGAAAAAACATTCACATTTAAGCTAGTGAAACAAATAACCTAAAGTTAAGAACATTCTGTTTTCATACATCTGAATCGATAAGGTGAAAAAAGTGTTTGGAAGCCAGTCTTACCTCTCCTCCAGCAATTTATGTTCTGTCATTTTGCATGTCAAAAGTAACTGCGGTGGAATTCTAGGTGAATTAAAAGATAGTAAAATTTAATAAGCTGAAATACTTTGTAAACAAAGGAGAAGCAACTTAGATGTGTCCTATTTGGTTCTTGTTTTATTTTCTCTATCACATTTCTTTTTCAATTATTTAATTCATTAAAGTGAGAATAGGTTCAATTCATACAGCCCAAGCCCATCTTATCTATTATTATTATTTGAAAAAACTGTTGTCAAATGTATTTTTCAGATGCCTCTTTACCATTTGGCAAGAAAAAAAGGCCCTGCTCCCATTCTTGTGGATATATAGTATGCATACTTTCAGCATCTGGCTAGTTCATACTTTTTTATGGTGTTTAATATGCACAATAAATGCATATGTATGTTTTCTTTAACATATGTGTTTGCAGGGGATGTGATCAGCCTTGGAGACTGACAGCTTACTGTCATGAGCATGCCTGGTCTATTAAGAGGAAATATTTGCTTACATGATGGAGAGCGGAAGATTTCTTTCAGTGGAGATTTGTACAATGGACTGTGATTGGAATTAAGCTGGCATTGCAATTCAAAATCAACAGAAGACTTACTTGTCCTAGACTCGATCCCTAGACTGACTTTCTGCTGAAACTACCAGTTCATTGGCTAGTATAATGAAAATGCATTCACATTTAAGCTGGCAAAAAATGACATGATGTTAAGAAAGTTCTATTTTTATCTATGTGATTGAATGAGATGAAGAAAGCGTGTGGAGGCCAGCCTTGGTTCTCGTCCAGCAGTTTATGTTCTGTCATTTTGCCTTTCAAAAGCAGTGGAATTCTAGGTGAATTAAGTGAGGGTAGAATTGTAATAAATTGTGAAATGCTTACTTTGTAAACTTTCACAAGAGACCCGGCTTAGATGTGTTCTGTTTGTTTCCTGTTTTATTTTCTCTATCACATTTCTTTCCACACTGTTTAGTTTATTAGGGTGGCAATAGATTTAATTAATACAGCCCAAGCCTGTGTTAACTATTACTATTATTGGAAAGTACCCTGACGTCGAGTGTATCTTTCAGATGCCTCTCTGGCATTCACCAAGAAAATAAATCTCCCACTCCCATTGCTGTGGATATATAGCATGTACAAACTCTCAGCGTATGGGTAGGTCGTACTCTTTGTGGTGTCTAATATATGTGATAAATGGAAACATTTTCCTGTAACACATTTGTTTGCAGGGGATGTGATCAGCCTTGGAGACCGACAGCTTACTGTCATGCACATGCCTGGTCATTCAAGAGGCAGTATTTGCTTACATGACAAAGACCGGAAGATTTTGTTCAGCGGAGATGTGGTGTACGATGGATCCATGATTGACTGGCTTCCCTACAGCAGAGTAAGTGACTACGTTGTAAGCTGCCAGCGCCTCATGGAGTTAGTGGACAGAGGTCTCGTGGAGAAGGTACTGCCTGGGCACTTTAACATATTTGGGGCAGAAAGGCTATATCGTTTAGCTTCCAACTACATTTCGCAAGCTGGAGTTTGTCACAAGGTTTCTACTTGTGCCATGAGATCCATTGCGAGCATAGCACTTCGCGTTACGAATTCCAGAGTCACTTCTTAGTGACAGTGCATTTTGCGTGATCTATTCCCTGTTGAAAAACCAAATGGCTTATGAAAGTGTTGACACAAACAAAAGCAGTATGCATTAGTAAAGAGCTGGCAAATTGATACAGATGACCTGCAAAAACTCTCCCTATTTTTGCCTACTTTATTCCTATTTTTATAAAAAATATGTAAGCTAGTCGCTTTAGCCAAAGCTGCCGTTTTTCTTTCTATTTTTTCAGGGCATGTTTGCACATGTATTTTTATTGAAATATATTGTTTTATTTTTGTTATGATGCTGACAGATGCATATATGCCAAAATGAGAGGTTTTACATTCATGCCTGGAACCTTGTCAACGTAGCACTAGGTTTCTGAATATTTGCTCAGGTTTTGGCCTAACGCAGCTCGTGCTAAGACCTGGTGTGTGCTGGGAGCAGGGCCATTAGGTCAAAATAAGAACAGCACCTATGCAGAACTCAGTGGGCAGAAGGAGGTAAGGGCCATTCTGCAACTGTTGTCACCTGCCGCTCAGTGCCTGCTGCACCCATCATCGCCTGCATCTTTGCAAAGTAGCTATCTGGCAGTTTCTTTCTAATCCACTAACGTATGGAAACACTATAGACCAATTTTCCAAGCTGGAAGGTACATAGATACATCAGCTTACCCAAAAAGCTTTTGATATTGATCCAACAGCAGACGGACTGTTGAGGCTTTCATGCTTCCCAGTGTAGTGCAGGGGACGCCTGCACCATGACAGAGGAGCAAGAATGAGCGCTCTCACCGTCTGCTAGGGAACTGTTTTGCTTATAGGCATGCGAGTTAGGAGTTAAGAGAATTTGTGAGCTAATGAATTAATGTGTTAGACTACTCTGTGCAAAGCGGATTGAGCTCTTGCTCGATGTGTTTGGTTTTTTTTCTGATGAACTCATAAAATAAATTTTATTTACAGTTGTTCTGTAAATTTGAGAGAACTGGACAGTGACAAGCTTAAAGGTTTTATTTGCATTTTTTCATGTGACTGGATTGTAACTTGGCTGTTAATGCTTTGTGGTAGGGGAAGGATGGATGCTTTAACATGATCTTGCCCTACTGCAGTTGCTGGATTAAACAGCTGGTACACTTGTTACCACAAAGTGAATGTAACTTGAACTGTTTAATGTTTGCTTATGCGGTGTTTGGTGCGTATGGTTTTTATGAAAAGTAAAGTGCATTGTATTTGACTGTGTTCCAAAAAAAGTTGAATGAATACATTGAGAAACACTAAATAACATTGTAACTTGCTTATGAAAATTCAATGTGTGATATTTAAAAGCTGTTGAAATGGTTAAAGTTTGTGTAATTATTCTAACAGTAGATACATATATTTAACTTTTTTAAAAGGACACTGTCTGGTGTTATTTTCGTATGTAGACATACATACTTTCCTAAAAAGAGTGCAAATGTTTTTCCCAAGTTTTAGTAGAGTTTAACCTTATTTGTTTGGCTTTCACTTCATAGGGAAGCTTTTTTCGCCCCTCTCATCATACCCAACAGAAAGGGAGCCCAAAGTTTGGGCTCTGTCTAAGGGGGAGTGGAAATTGATAGCGTTCTTAACAGGTATAAATTCTGGTGAAAAAAAAAAACAGTTGCAAAATAAAAAGCATCTCTGCCTAAAAATAGTGAAAAAGAATGTCTTATGTAATACTTTTCTCCTTTCACAGATCACTGCACTCCTGCCTTTACTATTTGAATATATTCTTCACCAGAATTGGTACTGATAGGTTGTGACGTGCCTAGTTCTTGTTAGCAGTGCCTATCTCCAAGCTGAAGCAAAATTGTAAGAGGGCAGGACAGGTGTAGCAATGGAGCACTTGAAAGACCTGTTATCACTTGGATCATAGTCTCTTTTTTGGAGAAATCCAAGTACATCAGTGTATTACACTGAGGAGCGTCTAATCAGTGGGTAGACTTCTGTCATAAATGAAGCTAAGAGCTTTTTAGCTTGGCCTTATTTGGCCATAGGAAGAAATACAAAAGGTTAGCCTGGGGAGCAAAAAAGCCGTTCAGTAAAGAGGTGCAGAACAAACTCCAGTGTGGTTTTCCTTTTTGGCCTGCTGACGCATGCTGCTATTTACGTAGCAGTCCAGAGGCTGTCCTTGATAGCCAGGGGTTCACAGTGAGCAATCACAGATCTGAGGTGGCAAGCTGGAAAGTCAGAATGGCTGAAGAAATACATAGCACTGAAGCTTACACCAGTTATTCAGATGAAGCCATGGTGTCACCGGTTACCCAAGAGTAATTAATTGAATTCCTTCAAATTAGCCATCTGTGACATAAAACCAGTAGTAGTCTTGCTCTATGCTTTGTGAGGGCTGTAGAAGCACTAGTGATAACCCCGTACAATAACACACACAGAGAGACCTCTTCTGTCACAAAGCCTGCCAACATGTATGCCAGTTGCTAAACTTTTGTAAATGTTCCATTAGGAGAGTGAGATCGTGTTGAATTAACATTTTGTGTTATACCACTATCAGTTTATTTGATCCAGTATTCGAAGACCTGTAGCCAGATTTTACTGCATTGTAAAACCTGAGCTCCTAAGAGAAGTCTCACAGGCATGCCAATTCAAAAGGAAAGATATCCTCCATCATTTGTGTTTCAATCTGTGCTCAGTATCAGCTACAAGATCTTTAAATATCCAGATCACTGTCAAAATGCCCTATTAAGCCATGCTTAAGTCCATTACGTATATGTAGATAACAGCCATTGCCTGGGTTTTTTCCTTGACCAAAACCTAGAGAATAATTTCTTAGCTCAGAAGTGAGCTTTATGTGAACATAGCCCAAAATGGGGTGTGTCAGGAAACTGCTGCTATAATCCAGCTGAAAGTAGTTTTTGAGGGTCTTGAAATTATTTTTGTATTATAAGAAATTAATTACTAGGTAAATGATACATCTTAAGTATAAAGAACTGGCTCTGATTATTTTTGTTAAGAATTACCAAGTTTTAGTCATAAGAGTTTGACAGTGTTCCTTTAACACTACTTGGATTTAATATTTAAAACATACATTGTAAATTTAAATATTGAAACATCTTGGGCATTTAGAACTGTGTTGATTTATTTGTGAAATCTAAACGTATGTTAATGCAGTTTTCAGTAGACTGAGGAGTTGACAAATCAGATGGGAAGTTTTGCTCTGTAATCTGTCAAGACTTTAGTGATGTTAAACAACGGTTGACACATACAAAAATAATTTTATCATAGATAATAATAATAAAAAAATGTTGTAATCCTATGTAGTCCAGTCATAATTTCTAGGGTTTTTTTTTAAGAGAAGTACTTCTACATTCTAAATAGAGTGTAAGAAATTTAGAAGGTGCTAGCAGTGTTTTTTATGCTTCTGAGCAAGAGATTGCATTGGAAACATTTACCAATGAATGGAAACATTTACCAATGAGTAAATTTTACAATTTACTCGAGGCCGCACCTCAAGTACTGTGTTCAGTTTTGGGCCCCTCACTACAAGAAGGACATCAAGGTGCTAGAGCGTGTCCAAAGAAGAGCAACGAAGCTGGTGAAGGGTCTAGAGAGCAAGTCTTATGAGGAGCGGCTGAGGGAGCTGGGGTTGTTTAGTCTGGAGAAGAGGAGGCTGAGGG